GGGTGAAAGTCCGGTTGGCATCCCGTTGCGCTCACATGCTGCAGTTTGAGGCCCCTCAAGACTTATCGATGAAGCTATTCCTTGATACATCATCAATGCAGATCTTGTTCTCCGAGATGGTTGAAAATTCTGGCTGGCATTTCATGGATACAGGATATTACCGAGGAGATTAAAGGGTTACTATAACGAAAGAGGATCGAAATGTAAAGCTCTCTCCAAGGCAAGATCTACCAGGTATGTTATATGACGAACAACGCGCCATTGGCTTCGTGTTCTACCAATTCTGCGAGGTGGGGGTCAATAAACGCCACAAAAGAAGTGTTCGGCATACCTTTTACCAAAGTATAGGCTTCTCTAGATGATCGAGATCGTTTTTCTACGCTTTAGGTCCCGTCTGTCGGTGTGCCGGTGCACGTCTCCCCAGAGGTTTCCTCGAGCTTGGCCACCTGGCGGGGGATGGCCCATAAAACACCATCGATAACCGAATCCAATTCGTCGCTGAAGGCCCAGAGATCATTCTTTATACTGATTTGCGATAAAACTCGGCCGAAACTCCACCTGATTCAGGGGGCATGGCCCGACTCCGCCTGTGTACTGAGACCCCACAAGTACCCGGGGGGGGCTCTGGTGGGGCCATTGGCCCCATCTCGGACGTGCAAACTCGTGGATTGTCCCCTTTATCACCTCTCCAGTCCTGCAATTTTTTGCGAATTTGAGCTGGCCAGATCGTGACGGCTGAATGGGCGACGAGTCTCGGAGGGCAAAGGACGGCTGAATGGATCGACGAAGGCCAATGGCGCAAAAAAAGGCGCGGGGGTCCGCGGAGGGCGAGACGGTGAGTTGCTCGATTCGAATATCCATGGAAAATCGAGGGAAATTTGATGAAATAATGCAGACTTTTATTTGTCACCCACGAATCAAGAGGCAGTGGCTCGGTTTATCCATCCATGGCTAAGCTCTTATATGGAGGGGAGACGAATGACGTAGCAGGTGTCCACTGATGACACAAGAAAACATTGTCATTTTATCTTAAATGAAGATATCCTCTTTCTAAAGAGAATGCTGCTTATCGATTGCTATTTTATTGCATTTTTTGGGGCTTTGGCGGCGCTGGCCCTCTTGAACCGGTGAGTGTTACATCCGAAAACCACCATAATTCGCATTAAATCGGATCATCCGTTAAATTAACAGAACATCTAACCCGAAATCGTACCGCACCGTCGTGGAGGTACCTTGGGGTCTAGACAAAGAGGCTCGAGTTCCGGTCTAAATCCCCCCTTCGAGGTACCTGCAAGCTTATTCAGACAGCCGGAGCTTCTCAATAAGCTGCGAACGGCCTTTAACTTTCAGTCTTGATCGGAGCGTGGTTCTCGCGCACGTCGAGCGCCTCTCCAATAGTCAACAGCGCAAACTCCACTATTTTATAGGGAACATCTCGCTCCGGAGCATCAAAACAATAATTATGCAGCTCGCCAGGCTTTTCACAAGGAGGTCGTGGGTGGTTGCGTCTTCCTCATGTCTCTGGCTTAAGACACCACTCGCATTTTCATGGACGCAACCTTTATCCCGTCCATCAAGTGTACGTGATTATTCTTGGATTCTTCATCCACTCGTTGCTCATCCCGG